TCCAGATAATCCTGGATAATCTTCCCATTTCAAGATCCATAACAATCACATCTGCAAAGTCTCTTTTGCAACATAAAGTAATGAACATCCTCAGGTTCTGCCATTAGGACGTGGCTATCTTTGGGGCCATTATTCTGCCTACCACACATGTTAGTGTGAGTGCATGAAAGCGTTTTTGTGAATGAGGGTGTATTAATGCACGTGCCCAAAGCCTACATGTGCATGTGTGGTGTGTGCAGAGCCTATGGAGCTGGGCACTTGGTGACTAAGCCCCCTTCATGCTCACAGCATTTCAACACAGCCAAGAATTCAGCTGACATCTGCTGCTGTCCCTTCAAAGCCTCCCTGTACAACCCAGCTGCAGCCATCAAAGTCGCTTTTTCCATCCCAGCTGGGACCAGAGTAGAGGGGAGAGCTGGGATCCCCATGCTGGAGCCAAGCCCAGGTGCTGAAAGTGCCCAGGGCCCCTGCTGAAGAGATGGATGGCCTGGGTGGGGAAGGCAGCCCAGCCACCTCCTTTCAATTGCTTTTTAATGGGCTCCCCCAGCAAACCTACGTCAGATTCGTTGTCTGTATTCACAGGGAGCCATTTGGTCACATTTCTGGGGTCCATCGGCATCCCCCATTGTGGTTTGACTAGGTTTGGGGCGCTTACAAACTGCAAATCCATCTGCCTTCATGATTGCATCATTTGTTTTCAATACTGAGGGGTTCCTTGGAAAGAGTTTCTTATTAATAATAAAACACAGTTACAACCGGCTATTGTTTATATACTGCATACCTTCATGTCAGCATGCTAAGCACTTTACACACATGATCTCCTTTAACTCTCATGCCAACCTCACAGGGAGGTATTATTACCATCCAAATTTCACAGATAAGAAAGCTGAAGCTCAGAAAGGCTGACTTGCACAAGGGCCTGAAGCAAGTGACTAGGGAAACGAGGGTTGAATGCAGGTCTGCCTGGCTCCAAAATCTCCCTAAAGGCAACTCGCACCGTCTCTGGGCACAGTTCTGGAAAGGAAGGCCTGGGTGAAGCTGTGACTGGAGATCCATTCCTTTGCTTAGGCCTGGCTCTCCTGAGATTTGTCCTCTAGGACTCCCCTTGCCCTGGGGATTGGGAGGAAGAGTGGCCCAGGTTTGGAGCTGTTCATGTTCAGTTTGAGTGTAAGTTTTACGATGTAATGGATGGCTTTAGGAAGACCTGTCTGGGTGCTTGAGAGCCTGTACCATGTGACCCTGGGGAAGTAACTCGTTCCCTTGGGCCTCAGCTCCTTATCTCTAAAATGGGAGAGCTGGCCGAGATGATCCCTCAGGGCCTTCTAGGGCTGACCCTGTAGGGCTCTGGCCAGAGGCCCTTGGGGGTAGTTTCAGAACCTTGGTGACATGTATCATCCTCTTCAGGCCATGAGCCCAAGGCCCTGGAGAGGGGGCTAGCCTGAGGGATTGATGTCCAGCCATTTTCCAAGGATAAGGATAAAATCTGAGGCTAGAGATTTTTACATCTAATTTTCTTTCCTTAGAAACAAATAAATCAATATATAAAACATAATTGCCAGGCTCCCTAAAATTCTATAATCCAAATGCTGCTACAGCCTTACTGATATTTTGTCCGAAATAAAGACTATGGTTTCCATTTGCTTAAAGACTCTTTAAGTTTTTAAAGAGCCTTCCTGTATATAAGACAGCAGTTACATCTGGGGAGGGAGATTGGAGGTGATCTTACACATTTGACCTTTTTGTTCCATTTGAAATATTTTTTAAAACACAAGAATATGTTATTCATATAATAAGAAGAAAGATGACACTTTGAGTAGTTTGTTAACAATGACCAGATTACTTTGGGCTAAAGTGTCTGTTATGCACTGAAATTTTGTGTTTCTCCTAAATTCACATGTTGAAGCCTTAACCACCAATGTGAAGGTATCTGGAGATGGGGCTCTGGGAGATAATTAGGGTTAGATGAGGTCATGATGGTGGGGCCCTCATGACAGGATTAGTGTCCTTATAAGATGAGCACATACCAAGAATGCAAGGCCCTGGCTGCTCTGTGCCAGAGCCAGTTCTCAAGGCCGTGTTTGCAGCCAGTATGTTGAGGGATGAGGTAACAGCATACAACCATGGCCATACTCAGCCAGGCTTCCCTCTGACCAGAGGTGACTGGGCCAGGAGTGGACACCTGACACACTGGGTATTAGGGTTTCAGTATATGAATTTGGTGGGGGTAGGGAGGGACATAATTCAGTTCATAACACCATGTTCCAAGAGCATTTACACTGGAATCAGATCCTAGCTGGAATCCTAGAATTCCTAATAGGATGACCTTAGTATCTTCGTTTGCTCCACCCAGAAGCAGACCCTGGGACTAAGAATGAAGGGCATGAGTTTATCTGAGAGGAGACCTAGAACACTGGTGGAGGAGAGAGGACAGGAGGCAGGGCAGGGAAGGCAGCTAATACAGAGTGTGTTATTGAGCAGCTTACTACTGTGGACAACTGCAGCACAGACTGGCAGGTGTTTGCATGGGGTGTTCTGGGCATGGATTGTAATGAAGAGGAGGGACAAGGGGACTCAGTAGTTTCTACAGAGGCCCATTGTTTCCTGCCCTGCAGAGGTTAGGGCACTATGAGACACTAGGGAGGAAAAAGTCCATTAGGAATATAGAGGTCTGTAAATGAGTTACTGGTTTAACTAGGATCAAGGCCCTACATCATACATGATTTGGGCTTAGGCAGGAAGAGCCATGGGCCCAAAAGGGTGGTCTGCTCAGGAGTCAGGCTGGTGGTAGTGGCCTACTGCCTCTCCCACTGAGATCCAACGGAAGATGCAGAGCAAACCTCCGCTTCACGTTATCCAGAAAGGGCAGGGCCTGCCAAACCAGCTAATTAGAACTTGCAACAGGACAGACATCTGGCACCCCTGACCCTCCCAACTTCTTGCCATCTACCACAGGCTGTACGGGAAATGCCAGGCTGGATCTGCTCCCAGACCCACCTCCACAATGTGATGATCATATAATTTATTTTCCAAGCCAGATACTTTTCATACTGAAAGAGAGTGCTAAAAATAATTTAAATTATATGATTTTTGAGATCTATACCATTGACTGACAAATTATTTTTGTATTTGTGGATCTATAAAATACTTTTACTCAGTAACTACCTTTGCAAATGAAATTATTTTCAAAAAACAACATATATCTCTGAAAAAGATACTGTTAATAAAATAAAAGGAAAAGCCACAAACTGGAAGAAAACATTCGTAAAACACATGTCTCGTAAAGAATTTGTATGTAAAATATACAAAGAATTCTTAAAGCTCAACAATAAAAATCAAACAACCCAACAAAAATGGGTAAGAATGTAAAATAATATTGAATGTCAACTCTAATTGAAAAATAAAAATTTTAAAAAATGGGTAAGAGATCTGAACAGCTCACCAAAGAAGATATACAAATGGCAAATAAGCATATGAAAAGATATTCAGCATCATGTGTCATTAGGGAATTGCAAATTAAAATGACAATGAGATATCACTGGATACCTAGTAGAATGACTAAAATAAAAAAAATTTGATAATATCAATTGCTGGAGAAGATGTGGAGCAACAAGAACTCACATTCATTACTGGCGGAAATGCAAACTAGTACACTCTCTTTAGAAGACATTTTGACAGTTTTTGACAAAGTTTAATATAGCTTTACCATGTGATTCATCAATTATGCTCCTAGGCATTTACCTAACTGATTTTAAAAACATCTGCCTGAAAACTTGCATGTGAATGTTTATAGAAACTTTATCCATAATCACCAAGGACCAGAAGCAACCAAGATGCCCTTCAAAGGTACATGAATAAGCAAACTGTGAAGTATCTATGCAATGGAATATTATTCAGTGATGTTTTTAAAAGAATGAGCTAAAGACATGGATGAATATTAAATCCTTATTGTTAAGTGAAAAATGCCAGTCTGTAAAGGCTACAATACTGTATGGTTTCATTATTTTGATAATCTAGAAAAGGCAAAACTAAAGAGTTGGTAAATAGACAGAATGACAGGTGTTTGTGGGAGAGGCATTGAATAAGTAAAGCACAGGGAGATGGGTTTTTTAGGGAAGTAAAACTATTCTGTATAATATCGGAATGGTGGATGCATCACACTGTGCATTTGTCAAACCTGTAGAATTTTACAGCACAAAGAATGAAAAATGTATATAAACTTTGAGAAAATAATTTAGGAGTTCGAGGAATCACAGGATAAAATGC